AAAACAAAACAAAACAAAACAAAACAATGTAGTGCATTTCGATTCGATTTCACTGCATGGTTTTTATTATGGGAGACATTATCTTCATCTCGAATAAAAAATAATTGAAGATTTTTTCCCCGATCTTATTTTTACCTTTCAGTTTCATTCAAATTGTTCTTCCTGTGACTTCCGTATCGGGAGCTCCGCTTTTAGGCAGTGCCTAAATAAATATATTAAATTGCTTTTGAAACGTTGGAGAATAAGTAATTGCTCAAGGTTCAGAAAATTTGAAATTTCATATTGAAGTTTTGAAGTATAAAAAATGTACAGAAACAAAACATGTTAGTAACTTTGTGGAACTAAGTAGTTTATGTACTCATTTTTGAGTTCCTAATAATTTTATCTAAAGAAGTTGGTAAATAACTTTGGAATATTGGGCAAAAATCGTATGAAATCGTACCATTTGATATTTCAAAATATTAGGTCGATTTAACTGGGCTATGAGCCGTATTTTTGGGGTATTGTGTGATGTTAATTAACATGCTCGTAAATTCCAATCTACTCGATGATTTTTTTTWAAATTTAGCCAATTTAATTCACTGCAATATATATGCAACAAGATGTCAAAGTTTCATTTTCATTGAATCATTTTAAAGCTTTCAATCTTCAATACATTGAGACTTCAGTACGGATGCAACTAGTGTGTAATTCATTAAAAATTCAATCTTAAACCACTACGCATGCGTAGCAATGGAATCGACTGTTTGCGTATCATAGCTATTGTTTACGCCACATGTCAGTTTAAACCAAAATATATAGATATTTTCGCATTCTTCACTCTTGTATACTTGGAATTTAGTTTTATTATTAGAAAGGTTTTAAGGAAATACAGCTCGTTCATACATTTTTTGATGTAGAATAAATCACCAAATTGTTATCCCGGTGAATGAACACGTATAAACGAAAGGACGCCATGCTTGTCTTCACATCAAAAGCTTCCGAGACTCTCAGTTCGTGGATTGGGTGATGGTATAATTGGCTTCCTATGGCGTTCATGGCTGACTTCAGCCGTTTAATTTGCTCCATTTAGTAGCTGTGAACTACAATTTGTATGTTTTTTTCCCTAGAGCATTGTCAAATACCGTTTCAAGATAAATTTTAATACTTAGTACAATTGTCTAAAATGTTTTTAATTTTGTCCTCCGATGCGTTACCTTTAAGCTGTTTATTTGGGTGGTAAATACTCGTTCCCTCGTGCACAAAGCCTACTTGTACTTGCATGTGCTCGTGTGAAGCACAAACCGTACTTCACCGGAGGATGAACGGATAGTTTTCTGATCAGACGTTTAGGCCAACCTTAAAGGTGGACTCCGAGGAATGAATTAACGAAATATCAACCCCTGTAAAAGGCTTCACTTTCGCTTTTTTCACGTTTTAAAAATTTTCAAGGTGTCACGAAAACCGAAAAAATACACTAATGGCAGCATTTATTTAAGAACTTACTGCTATTCTGTAAATTCTAATTTCCTAAATTCAAAACAACTAGTGCTAAATGTTCAAGTTCAATGTCAGCTCAAAAAATCTTAGTTGCTCCAAACAAATTTTTCCAAAGCCATGCTTGCTTGCTTGCTCTATTTTGCTTGCTCCAAGACACTTTACTACACTACTGTCCAATTCTCTCCTTTTCTCTTCTCCACGTAACGCTGCAGATTAACCCACTCTACTCTGTCTTCGAATAGTGCAAGTGCTCTCGTATAAAGCTCCTGTCGAAGACCAACTCACTGCTTAGCTTTCCCTATTTACAGCCATTCTCAATCACACGCGCCCTCTAGCCAGATTGTTTCTGTCGCGACGAAGAAGCTTTTGGTGGACGTCAATCACAAGGCGTTTCCATGAAATTGTCGGAAAACACAAAGCGATAAGGGCACGTGCCTATAGAATGTCATGGAAACGCCTTGATTGACGTTTACCAAAAGCTTCTTCGTGGCGACAGAAACAATCGCTAGAGCGGCGGGTGTGATTGAGAATGGCTGTAAAGGCTTCTCTCAACCATGCCAGAATGGATTGTTTTTCTTCCCCTCCTAAGCGGCAGGTACTTTGTTCGGCGAGAAAATTTTCTCTCCCGAACTAAAGCCAGAACCGATGGCAGAAAAACACAAATTTTCATAAAGATTTTTGAAAATTTTTAAAAAATTTTTGAAAACACTTCACTAAAGGTGTTTACTATTAATAGAACCTTTTAGATTCGTTGTTTGTTGTGCACATTTCAGATCATGTGCACGTACGTGGTGCTATTCTTGGGATGAAGTTGATTCTTCCACACGTAATATTTAAATGTTTAGTCACGAAAGAACGATTTTCGAATATCAAATAGGCAATTTGCATACGAAACGAAAAGGTTTATTTCAGGTGAATAAATCCGATTTTTCGAGATTGTCTGATGAATCTTGATATTTACGATCTAAGGCGAACTAAACTTAGATGAATGTTCGTTAAAATAGTATACCACAAAACACGTTCGTCTGTTCGTGACTTTTTGAGTAAAAGCCTTCAGGCCAATCCTTAATATCCGTTTGAGCGCGCTCATTGGCCAACATTGAATGCTTGCTCACGAACGCAAAATTCGTCTGTTTGGCTGCCAAGATACGACACGTAAAGAAGAAATGGTACAGAAGAAGGTCGTTTTCTTTATATTGCTAGCTTTAACTTTTCTACAGGCATTCATATTCCTTTTTTACGTCAAAAACAAAGACTGGAAATTGAATAATCGTTTTCGTTTGAGGAGAAATGACTCCGAGGTAGTCGAGACCGAAGCTCGACATCTTAGTGGGTTCAATGAATCTGAAAAGGAACTCGCTCTCAATATTAACTATAGACCTTCAGTTATCCTCACTACAGCAAATATGTCAATTGAAGAGGAAAGGTTTTCAAATTTTTCCCTTGATAGCAGGATTATTACACCAGCCATTGATCAAGGCAAAGGAGATATCTTTCTGCTCGTTTTGGTAACGACGGTTCCTAAATCTCTCGAGAGGAGAGAACTCATTCGAAATACTTGGGCGAAGACTGCTCAAACTCTACTAATTCAAAGCATGAATGCTACGAACTTCACGTCTCATGTCGTGTTTATGCTAGGAATAACAGGAGACTCCAAGCAAGACAGCGCAGTGGAAGAAGAGGCTACAAAGTATGGAGACATACTTCGAGTTCCGTGCATTGAGTCTTACAGAAATATCATCTCTAAAGTATGGTTTGCGTTTGAATGGGCTCTTTCGTATCGTGCAAAATACATTCTAAAGGTAGATGATGATATATATGTCCGCCTGCCAAGRCTCAACTCATGGTTAACGGATGCAAAGGTGCCGCGTACACTTTATGCAGGGTATGTGCACTATAGAGCCTATATAGCGAGAGATCCGAAAAACTCGCATTATGTTAGTGAATCTGAGTATAACGAAAAGGTATTTCCGAACTACTGCGCTGGACCGTGTTATRTGTTTTCAGGAARCTTGCTGGATAAGTTTTTAGAATTGTCCAAGTCAGTTCGTAAGTTTCAGGTTGAAGATGCCTATCTTGGATTACTAGCTAAGCGAGCTGGAGTACAGCCCTTTGATATAGGAGGTAAGCTCTTCGTGTGGGATAGATCTTTGTCCCGTTCTGTTCGCCAATGGAACGACCAAAGCCTTTCAGGGGTCATTTGTTTAGGAGATAGTTTAACTGATGAAGCTATCAAGTATATACATGCAAGATATGGGAAGATTGAACATTCTCTTAATAGGAATTAGGACGGTTGACGTGTAAATTATGGTAAAAAATACATTTCTTCTTCTTCTTAAAATTTTGCTGCATAGCCACTGATATAATTACGTTTATTTTAGTTTCGTATTGTACTCTAGCCACACCGCTTCCTATTTCGTGACCTTTTTCATACATAATTTATGTTTTTTTCGTTTGTACATGGCACTGCATTAGTTTATAACTGCATCTTTAATGTTGTGACAGACATACTAAACTAAACCTAATTGAAGTTTGTTCTGCTTGTTTTGCTTCATCTATGGTGATTTCGATGACTGTTTTTCGTTTCGTGCTCAAACTAAAATATGACGTGATATAATATGATTTATATAGAGCCCTCTCTCATTAAGTAACTAGTCAAAGGCACTTACAATCATGAGAGGTGGTTAGTATGAGTTCATAGGCATTGGCTGTAAACATTGGCAGGGTTGCTTTACGGCCTCAGTGGTTCTTTTACGTCCTTTTTATATGTGTCGTTGAAGGCTCCATCACTATTTGCAATTTTGGATCTGTTTTTAGTTCCGGTTCTCAATCGATTGATTCCTTCTCGTATATCTGAGTTTATGTTCGCCAACTGTATTTTCGCTATCAACATGACTACAACTGAAATGAAGCTGATCTGTCTGATCAAACTGGAGAATTCGCTCGATAAGAAGTTCAAAAATCGATCGATTTTATTGCTTCTTTGAGCATTAGATGAAAACCAAAAATCCTCTCCAAATGAAAGAAGGCTTCGTTAAAAGAAGGAGTAATAAAATATAACAACCGTGAATAGTGACGCGCCGAATCGTTGAAAGCTTTAGGCTACTGCTTTTACGTATGCATAATTTGTTTTCAAAACGTAATTTAACTATATCAGGTTGTTGTGACGCCGTTCAGACCAGTACTGTTTTTTACTTAGTATTGCGCCTTCCTTCCCAGGGAAAATGAGGGAAACACAGAAGTAATATTCTAATGACAGCATTTATTATGAAAACGAACCTTAACGATAAACGATAAACTTAAATAAAGCGCTAAACTAGAAACTTATTATACTAACTTATTATACTAACTTATTATACTTGATTCAGAGTTCTGGTTCGATGCTCAATGTTCAATGTTCAATGTTCAATAACTGCTCACCCAAACGTTTGCTGCCGTTTAACTTCCACCAACAATTTCTTCTGTATCTGTTAACCCACTATCCTGTCTTTGAATAGTTGACGCGGTTCCTTATATCCTGCTCCTGCTCCTCACAGCCCTTGTACGATCTTTCGTTGAACAGAACAACTGACTCCAAAACAACTGAACTTGCTTACGAAATATTGTTCCATATTTATGAAACTCTAACAATAGAAAGACTTAAAAGAAAAGCCTAAAATATAAAGGATTATGTCATTTCTATCTTCTATACTAAACCTTACAAATCCTTGAAAAGCGCTGCCATTAGATTATTATATTTTAACTCTTGAGGGGCTTCAATTATCGTCACAGTTGTACCAGTCCGAACCCCCTTATTAGACTACAGTGTTTCTTGTACAGATTGCTAAACTGCAGAATCTGTCAGTGGGATGATCTTTCCTGTCATCGTATGATTGCCACAAAGTTAGAGGTTGGGTCTCTGCTAAACTTAATATATGACTCTGTCATTTGACTCTGTCATGTGTTAATCTTAACGTGTAACTCTGAACATTACTTACTTAAGTATCTATTGCAAATGTTTGTATTATCATACTTAATATCGATATTATGTTTTTCGGGGATCTAATAAGACATATAGTAAGTAATGTAAGTATTGTCCTGAAGGGTACTGTTTTCAGTGATAAGCGAGGAAGTGTTTCTTAGCCTTTCATTTTCCCTTCCTGTACTGTACTATAAAATCTGCTTTGACACTTGTTGAATTTCTCCCAGAACATGAATTCTTCGTTTGCAACCACGTGTATTTTACAGGTGCTAAATATTGTTTTTGGTGCCAAACAAAAACAATCCTTATGGCCATGTAGAGCTATATAATAATAACGCTCTAGTGAGCAAAAAAATGGAGCATTAGAGCATTTCTGAAACTAGCTACGAGCGAACGAAGTTACCGATTTTTTAGTGTAAAGGTGGCGGCCAAAATTTAAAAAAAAAAAAGAAAATAATCCAATTCAAAATTTCAAAAAAAAAAAACTTTATGAAAACAATTCAGTCAACAACTCACGTTGAACATGTATAAATCGAATTTACAAATTTGTACAACAGTAAAACGTTTGATTTGGCGAAAAAAAAGATATTTTCTTCTCTTTGAATTTTCAGACACGTAATCAGCGTAAGGGGAGGATAACGATTAGAAAATCAAATTTGCACAACTCGGAAACAAAAGGTCAAAACGACCTGAATATTTGTACATTGCTACTCATTTGAAAATAATATTTTCTTGGTGTATGAAGTCATGTGCAAACGAAGTAGGTACCTGACTTTATTAAAATCATCTCTTTTACCAACTCAAAGCTAATGACTAGATTGTCCAGTGATATTGAGCCTTATGCTTTGTGAATTCTAATTTTTGTGAACTTTAATTTTTGCTTGAACAGGCATCAATATCTCTCTCACAAAGAGGCTACTAGCTAATCTTTTCTATGAAAGTGTTGCCAGCTTTAACATCATCAAATTTAAAACATAGATAATAGTAGGTTTTTGGTTGCTTTTACCTCCGTCACTATCAATAGATCCCAGTTGACCATCAATGAATTTATCTGTCTGCAACGTCATTGTGGATTGTTAAAATCATTCTGTCTGCAATTATGTCATTGTTCATTTTTAACATGTGTTTGTAAGAAATTCTGTTTAATCAGTTCTAAATATATTGTTGTTGTTCAATTTGGGTTTATTTAACAAGTATAACAAAATAACAAAAATATCATTCTAGCACTTTCTTTCATTATAGATAGCTAACTTTATCGTTATCTATCTAATTACTATGTCGTAAATGAATAATGCAATAAATTATCGTATTGTTGTTATTATTATAAAAACATCTTCATCTCTTTTGTATATAATAACAATATAACCACATTTTCACGAAACGTTTTTATAAAACGTGCGGCATTAAGAAAGCTTAAGGCAATTCAAGGTTCATAGGAGTTTGCAGTCTAAACAAAATTGTGACCGTGTGGTATATTGTTTTGATTAAGCGTGCGATTCTACACATTCTCAACCAGAAATTTCTGCAGGCTTGTTGTCCATTGTTATCCTAAGATGAATTTTGAACAGCTTTCGATTGTGAGTTAAAGTGATGATAGCAGCTGCTTTTAACTCAGAATGTAAAGTTACATGATTTTTTTGATATCATTTATAAAATCATAAGAGTCCTTTCACTGGATGTGAACTCCATTACACCATGGATATTTCACAGAAAGGACCTCTTTCATAATCAAAAAGGCCCTTTCACTGGATGTGAACTCCATTACACCATGGATATTTCACAGAGAGGACCTTTTTCATAATCGAAGTTGTTATGGATTTCCTGTCCCAGAGTGATGGCAAATGCTTTGGTGTTTACCAATGGCTGACTCTAGGGAGGGCCTAGTTTCAAAATTCTATCAGTTTTATTCTACTAGAGCTTGTACATTAGGTTCATTGAAGTTAGAGGTAAATATTTCATTTGTGCCTATAAATCTATTTTCATTTCCCTCTCAATGAGGTAGTAGTACAACATTAGCAAATCATGGCTTGTGATATCTTATGACAGAATTGACTTTTCTACACTTTGCCCTATCAGTGTCAGTAATCTTATTTTGTTTGAAAGTTATGTACGATGATCAGAGGAATATTGCTGTAATTCAATTACATCATCAGTATAGAACTTCAGGCTGAGCATTAGCTGCGTTTCTTGACAGTCTTTGTTGCATTGTGTTTGTAATTGTAAAGCAGTAAAGCCAGCTAGGTATACTAGGTTATCTATACAGCAGGAATGGATTGTGTAATAGTAGTACTGTTATGAGAGAGAAAATGAATATTTTTACAGACAAACTAAGCAAGACATGAGTTTTCTAATTACTATTACTTATCTTATGAAAACAAGATAAAGAGTTTTATATTAGCTATATAAAAGTATCGATATAAGATTTCAGTAAGGCTACCATCACGCACAAGTTTAGATAATGGTATGCTTGGAATTCACAAGTAGACCTCTTTGCTGCTCCATTAGCATTTGTACCTCTGGTTACACCCTACTAACTTTTTATCCCTTTGCTTAGTTATTTTAGCACTATTCTTTTAAATCTTATGAGGGAACATTCCTTGTAACCTTTTCTATACGTTTATAATATATTCATATATTCACTTTAGTTTAAGCTATGTTTAATTCCAAGATTTTCGCTTGTATTACTCATCAATAGAATATCGTGCTAAGGAATTTACTTATTCTTTAGCCAATATCATGATTCACATTGATTAGAGACTGACACCTGTCATAGAATAACTATAAATAGAGCTCATGTAATAGGCCATTTCACAGATCCCGCTACTCAACTTCAGCCTCGTCAGCGGCTGTAGTGAAAGGAATTTACATATCAACGAATTTACATATCACTTAAAAATTTCACAGGTTGTGAAATGATTAAAAATAGATTTGAAAATGTATTTAGAGTGGTTTTCAAAAACCCGTTGAATACACTTT